GATGGAGAAGATCAGTATGTCTGGTGTCAGTTTGGCTCCGCGGTTGCCGAGATTCGTCGACTACTTTCAGCGGTTCCGCTCGATTCGGACTAACAATGAAGATGCTCATCGTTTTTTCTTCCCCATAATAAATCGCTTGCACATGCAACTGCCATTCTTTGCCAATGTGCGCACACTATTGTACTTTTTTTTCTTTGGAATGGTCTTTTTCTGTTTTTGTTTTAGGATGATTCGTTTTTGTTTGTTGTATTTCCCAATTTCTTTAACACAAACTGGTTCATCTTCGCGCCCACTTCATGTTCATTTGATGGTTTATAATACGCATTCACACGCATATATACATAGGAACTTCGCGCGTCCGCAAAGTTTCTCCATAACTGTGATCGAAGCACAATTTCATTGATCAATAAAATCAGTCTGTACACACACACACACACACGTTTTTCCAAGCATTTTTGTTCTCTCAACCACGGTCTTTTGCACAAAAGTTGTTCATCAAACCGGTTGTTTGGTTCTTCAACATTTGTCTCTTTCTTTGTTTGAAATTAAAAATTAACCATTAGTCCGTTACAAGTTCCGGAAAGGAAAACTATTGCTGATTTTTTCGTTGGCCGTTTCAATATCTGTGTACGAGGCTATTGGGTCACAAGTACAATACAGAATCTCCATATTACTCCGCCGAACAGCCAATCACTTCGTTTCGTACAATCACTAACCGCGCACTTTCGTGCGCTGATGTTCGTTTGCTTAGTTGGTTCATTAATGAAAGGAGAGCTATATCTAAAACAAAAGCTATAGAATCTGGTTAGATTGGGTGTGGTCATAATGTGAAAAAATGAACGGGTTTTGTCGTCTTCAACAAGGCCGTTTCACCCTGTGCTCCAGAACGTCTATTAAACCTAGTCTCAACACCCACAATGCGGACTATACGATCTGGTTCATCTTTGAGGGGTCTTGAACCGGTTCATTGTCTACTCCGCATTCTTTTACAGCCATTATCTACCTTTTCAAAAGGTGCACACCAAATAAGTCAATCGACTGACAGGTCAAGCACATGCGCAGCCAACATATTTAGTCTGCTTCACCGCCGCCATTGCCCATTAATTCTTGTCTGATGTTCACATACTTTTTCCGTCCGCTTCAGTAAATTCGCTCGAAGCCGTATTCGAACAGCGATATGATTTACTTCTGACTCTAATCAGTCGTCTTTTCCCACTTAAATTTAATTTGATCATTCGCCAGCTGCGATAGATAGGTCGGACCAACTAAACTACCCGCATCGCTCATTTATTCTGCTACAGTTTCGACCCTGACACTTCTTCCCCAGGTGACTGCCTATCCAACCGAACCGGAAGAGTTTCTGTTGCAGCACAGCGATAATTCCCTTGAATTCAGTGGAGCGATAATCTGGATGGATCAGAAGGGTAAAGTTACAAGTTCTGCGCCCCGAGTTGATCTACTCATAGTAGTGTCGACCAGACTGCTGTTGCCTAGATTGAACTCTCCGATGGGATTTGTTTGTCGCAGCTAACCCAACGGTTCCTCAAGTAGATCAACGCCAGTTAACCTTTGTGTCTACGACCAAACAGGATAATCGAGTTTCGATCGTGTGGATTTACAAGACTGTCCAAATAGTTTAAGATGTCTGTTGCCTCAAGTGAGAAGTTACGGAGCCGAACCAACCCGAGCGTGTAATGACCTTTTATACTTTACGCTACGCCTGTTGTATATGGGCTTCTGTAAAATCCTGATCTCAGTTAAATTTATCCAACTTGTCAGACGTTTAACTCGATTACTTGCTAAATGGTGCAACAGAGCCCCTTCGTTACTTTTACAGATATCTGTTTGTTATCACTAAATTTTTGGTTCCCCCAAATGGACGGATTTGGACAACCCCTTGAACGAGTTGCTGTACAGTTTCGGAGTAAGGCGGGAAATATTGATTCACTTGGAATCGTCCGCCAAAAAAGAGTGAAGGGTTATTTTCTTCGGTATCAACTTCATGTGACTATACCAACTGGAATCATGCGGACTAGGATTCTAACTGAAGGCCCGCTAAATAGCGTAACTCGAAGCAAAACCATGTTGAGCTGTTGATACAGTGAATCCTGTTAGCTAACACATGGGAATAAATATCTTAATTCCAAATCCGTTTGCTTCATTCCCTGCTTTTCAATCGCTTTCGGTGTAGTCTGCATGTTCGCCTTCTGACTTTCAACTAGTAAAATTAAAGGTGCTTCTGATCACCTGATTGGCTGAAATCCCTATATCCTGGTTAGTTATACGGATGCTATGTCGTGGTGTTTACGTAATGCCCCCCAGATCCTACAGGAAGATTGATCGAATAACCCATTAAGGATCTTAGCAACAACCTTTTGCAGTCTGTCCAACAATCATGACCGAGCAGTATTTGACTCTATAAATAGCGAAGTGATTATTAACCAAATTCAGTATACGTTGTCAACAGCTGTCTGGCGATACTTTTGATAATGCATCTGCAGCGGTCGGAAAGGGATGCTGCGAGGGAATAGAGGAAAACCGAATTCCGGGATTACTTGTACTACTGAGGCCTATTTGGTGCATCTTGAAGCTGTATCATTCTTGCTATTGGAGATCCATACTGCGGTCCCTAATTTGACCGATGAAAAGATGTCTCAGTTGATGAATATCTTTCTGAACCGGTTCAAGTATAGTACTATACCGCATTCACATCGTAAATACCAGCTTCACCGCGTTTGCATTTCAGTCTACAGCGGACGCTGTGCATGGTTTCAGGCTAATTTTGCGATCAGTACATTGTATTATCGGTGGTTTCGTCCACTTGCAACACTTCGAATCACGAGGTTCTTTTATGGGGGGCTGCTCTGAATAGCTCAGTATCACGTTCTCAGCAAACAAGCACAATGCACGACCAACACCACAAACTGCCTCTGGAAGAGTATCGGAATAACAATCGTCTATCGCCTTTTCAAAGATTTCGAAACTGTCACAGTGCATCACCTTGTTGTTTAACTTGTTCCGCAATGGTGGTATACCGTGGGAATGACGAATTTGACAGGGAAATTTATTCTTACTCGGTTGATGTGCAATCTAAGACCGTACCCCTCCGACCATGTTCACGAACAAGTACTCGGGGTTTTTGATGTGCAGATGGATCTCTAAAAATTTCTATCATGTCTGAAACTGCAACACAGCTTAGGTGTATGTCTTTAACGGAACTTTTTTGCACGTTTGGTTTGTTTATTGCCCTCCTCTTGTCAATGAAATGACCATCGGTGCGTAGATGAAGAGCACGCAAAATAAGGGCTGATTACGTGTGGAATTCATGCAGGACAGTGAGATTTCATTATCAGTAGAATGACAGTGGGAATACGGATATACTGTGCGTAATCCGAAGCGCACCAATTGAGATGAAGGCTACTACCCTGGATTTAGGGTGTCTTAGGGAACGTGCATGCGAGGGTAGGCCAGATCGGATAAGAAATCCCATCACGGAAGGGCACACATGCGATATGAAAGCATTCTGTAACTGTATTAAGAATGGTTAAATTTCTCTTAAGGGAAGTACTCATACTTCTAGTGTACCCACGGGATATTTACGCAATTTAACCAGTCCTCGGTAAAAACACCAAGTGTGACATTGTTCCAGGTTAGGAAATATTATGATGTTTTCATCCACTGTTTTACCTTCTGGTACTGTAACAATGTGGGGTGCCAGGATGTCCTCAAATTCTCACCCTGAATAATTAAACAGTTGGCTCACAAACGACGAGAACTGGTATAAGTACACACTCAGACGGCAAACGATTTATACTGGAATTTCAGTTGACATTTTTGAGCATTCTCGTGAAAGTTTGTCTCCTGAGGTGGGCGCTGGGTAACAACATGGGCGGCGGGCGTTATGGGTGGCTTGATCGAGCAGCTTGCTTTCTTGAGCAACCTAGGTTCTTCTCCCTAGGGACATGCGCCGGCTGTTTATGGTTCTACTAAGTGCATTATCTGGAATTATGCAGAAAATTTAAATTATAGATGGGATTTAAGTTTTCTTGCGGAACACTCCTGTATGTTTTCGAGACTTGTGTTGCATCAACATTTACCTCCGTAATGCACTCTTAACACGAGGGTTTTGGTACTTCTGACATAAGTTACTGATGAGTAGTATGTTATATAACACTAAATTATGATGTCGGGAGGTCAGGCTTTGGATAAGGTTCATCCCAAATTGCGAAAAATTATCACATGATGCCGTTGTGCCTGTGCCTAGATCGTGCACCGAACGCACGTTGCAACACCAAAAATATCACCATCTTTCAACGGTTTGATCTGTATAACTTCGAGGGTTCTCTACTGTGTGACACTCTGAGAAATTTATTGTTTCAAGTAGCACCGCGGAATACTCGGATCAACGGCATTCAGACAATTCAGTATGCTTTCTGGGCAGGTCGCCGTTCAAATGTTTATTGAATTAATAAAGAAAGAGCTTGGAAATCAGTTTTCTTTTTAAGTTCCGATAGAATATTACTTGGAGTTACTTTCGAACCCACTTGAGCGATTGGATCGTTTTTCGATTCAGGACAATGTATCACTTATGTGACGGTAGATACTGATTGCCTGGAACGTCTCCTCTCAACTTTTTCTAGCACTAAATTCGATCACCATGATGGATACTCCGGTGTTTCTTCTTCAGTCACAGTTTCTGTCTTTGTTTATGTTTAGATCAGCTCCGGTAAGATTTAGTCAATTTGGAAGGTGAGTAGGTCAATACCACACCTCAAATAACTAAATCATTATGGTTTTCAGAAACTATCTGACATCGGTCAGGGACATTTATGGGTGCCACCAAACAAATATAATTTTCCCTTGACTAACCGATTGTCGTTTCCTGCTGGTAAACAAGTCGAAGAGAT